ACGATCTGTTGCTTTACTCGGATGGTATTATCATTCGCCGAGGTGAACTTGCAACGCAATATAGTTCCGAAAAGATCTTCAAACTGCAAAAACACATAATTGGCCGTTGCAACGTTGCCGAAAAGCCTGTTTTTGTTATCGACCAACTGCTTGAGACCATGCGGATGAAACCACGTCCAACGCGCGCCGAAACTTCCGACGTTGCCAATGCGGTTTTAGACGGTGCTGATAGTATTATTTTAACAGTTGAGACATCGTGGGGCAAGTATCCATTCGAGACCGTCGAAGTCGCTGACCAAGTATGTCTTATACTTGCCGTTGGCCTTGGACGCCCATCTTACACTATCTTTATTGTCCATCCGTATTATATATCGAGTGTTTCCAAATAACTCGTGTTTTTTCAAGTGTTAGGTAGTAAATAACCTTAAAAATGCCATAAGTTCGCAAAGAGCGTTTTATGTTTCAAGCGTCATCCCCTTTTTTTCAGTTTTGTGGTAAGTTGATTAATATACTTTCGGGCAGACCGTTTAGTACTGGAGAATGACGCATACTGATCGCATTTATTGCTACAGCCTTTTCTATTTGTTATTTTCATGTGCGCGTATTTCGTTTCGATGTCTACCCATTTTCGAGTCTGTTATGACTTGCACCAAATTATTTCAACTACAGTAAAATGGTTTAAATTTTTTTCTTAAGATCTGTCGTGAAGCCGAACGGGCCATCTTTCATGATGCCACACGTTCAGAACTCAAGATTTGTCGTGAATCACGTTCTCATTGGGCATATACTATTAAGGACGTAACTGGAATTTCTGCAGTCGAGGCTGCTGCCAGTTGCAACGCCAAAGCTATTCTGGTGATCACCACGACAGGGGTGTAAGTGCTCTAATTTTGTAGCCTTTTCTGTTTTTGGGATACCACACAGTCAGGTATATTCTTTAAACGCATGAAAATGTATACAAATAACAAATGAAGATCCTATTATATTTCAACCTGCGTGGACTTGGTGTTTTTTTGCACCGTATTCTCAATTTTACCGTTTAACAGTGGTCCCTTCATCTTGCCAGGGAGGTAGCTTAACCTTTGTACCGGCGTGCTATTAAAAAGGACGTGTAAAGTCGTTGATTCAGGTCAACAGATCGGCTGGAGCATTTTTATTAGACTGGTTCGACAACTTTTAGCTGAGTAGTTTGTTTCTCTAAATATACTTATAAATTTTGAATGATGGATAACTGTCAAACAGCGTTCTAGCTCTTTGAGTCTATTTCGATTCTCGCCTTCTGACGATAATAGCCCCTATGGAAGCATGGACTTTTACCTCTCCTCTAATCTTGTCCTTAGTTTTCATCTACTATAAAATGTAATGTAATGTCTGCCGTCCGAAATATTGTTTCGTATCATAACGAAAACCTTAGTTACATTTATTTGCTGACTGATTTCTTGTGAGTCGTTATTCTAAATAGCGACTCGGACGGGCAAATGCGTGCCAGAAAAATATAGTAGTTAAGGGGAAAGAGATCTCTGGTTACATTTTACAAAGGGGAGAAAACTTATTTTCATGTATATGTATATTTTGAGGGTTACGGGCGTCAGCCCTTGATGACTACCTTCCGGTACAGTTTAGATTTTAAAAATGTCATGATATACAGACAGCATGAAATATGGGCATGCGTAAGGTTGGCAGAAACATTTGGTAAGGATCCTTTTTAAGCAGTGCTACAGTAACAAAAAAAAACCTGGTCTTTCTAAAAGGGGACTGGCGGAAATAGGGGTTATGTGTGAGTTATATCAGGTAAAGGAAGTAATAAAAATAAACTAATTAAGTTAAAACCAGAACAATAAACTAAAATCTAGAACTAAATCTAAACTAAACTAATTAAAATAAAAACTAAACTTCAACTGATAAAACAAATGAGGAAAGAATAACCAAACTAAACGCAGTAATCAACTACAACGAAATAAGTAGTTGGTTATGTATACTAAAATACGGTAGTGTTTATAAGGAATCCTTACCAAACATTTTTGCAGTACATATATAGCAATGGGATTCATATAAATTGAAATCATGAAGTAAAGGCCATGACTGGCCGGAGATATTCCTGTGGTGAGAGTCGTCGGTTATCAACAATTAAGTGGTCCAACTGCCATTTGAACATATCAGTGGCATCAGACATCACTATCTGGCTTGGGAGAGAGACTAAAGATGAACTTACGCAGACCTAGGCACGTATATTCACGTTTGACCTTTTATAGCTGGTCATGTAGGTGAGTCATGTTTGTAAACTGAAAGGAATCTTCGGATTTCAGCGAACAGGCATGCCCGTGGATAATACAGAATATCCATAGCAGATCACACCTAATTTTAGGAAAAAGATTAGGCTTAATCATTCTTTCAGGATAAGAAGGAGTTCATCCACGAGTTTTGTTTCCCGTCGTTGCACCTGCTCGGTGGGATCAATGTCTTTCTTCATGACCATATCTATGTCTTGCACTGTAACTCTCGCCAACCCCACCCATATACTTATGATAATTTCATATTAAGTATGACAATTGTGAGTTCCGTGGCATCTCTGTTTGTTCAATCTCTTTTCACTGACAACATCTAAATGCCAATAAGATCCTTGGTGTTGAAATAGACGAGGTATTATTTATTCTAGATGTTTTAAGGGTATTCTTAAAGAAATTCTTACTGTCTTTTTGCACAGCATTTGCGTGGCTTTTGTACTTTTCTAACCGTACAGATATCATAATATATTTCGACATTTTTTAATTAAAAAAAGAAAGGAGACGCCCGTAACACCACTCAAAGCTTCTGGGGTGAAATCAGGCTACGGAATGTAAGAATAAAATTTGAAAATCGGGCTCTTTTTATTTTACACATTATTATTTTGCACACGGGTGTCTGTGAAACCCACTGGGCCAAAAGACTGAAAATTTCCACCATTATTAGTTCGGTCGCCTAGCACGTCTGTTTGCAAATTAATGATTTCGGTAAAAGTAGTTTGATTAGTGCACCTCATACCGCTAGTCCCAGCATTTTGTCCTACGGAAACGGTGGTTATAGGGGTTTTGCGGGTGGTGAATTAGGATACGTAGTCGAATGTACTTTAATAACTGCATTTTTATTTTACTGCATCTGGAAATTGTGTTGATTTATATCTGTAGATTTTCCTAATCTGTATTATAGTTTAATGTATTGCGGAAAAACCCGATTATCAAAAATGCGAGTCTCTTGAACTTCCTGAAAAAAATAGAAACGGTGGTTAGGAGGTCGTCTATTTCAACCTACGTGAGTTTCGACTTACCGTTCTGGAGTTAGATCGGTATAGTCCGCGGCGCGAAGTCCCGCGCAGACCTTCATTTTAAATGCGGCCGCGGGAAAAAAATGCGATTACATTTTTTAACTTTCCACTGACTTCTGAATATTTTCTTCACTGCCTATTCTATTTCCCCACCCCAAAAACCCCTATAACCACCATTTCCATTGGAAAAAATGCTGGGACTAGGGGTATATGAGGTGCACTACATAAGCTACTTTTGCCAAGCTTTCTTAAGACATACTAGTAAATGGTGTTTGCTATAGCTTATATGGTGTTTTCTATCTCTACAATAGGTCGGCCATATCGATCTCAGCCTCTAGACCATCCTGCTCGGTCATTGCAATAACACGAGACATTAAAGTTGGTCGACTGTGTTATGCCTACAGAGGCCTTCACCCATTTGTCTACACAGGTGAGCATGCGATTTTTCAACCGTCGACTCCTCCCTCTACTGTCTTAGGAATTATTCTCATGCCTTAAACCATGTTTTCCGCAAACCCCAAAGGAAATGAATTAACCCTAACTTGCTCCTGCTTTTCATCATAATGACGTCTTATCGATCTGATTTATCAGCGGGGCATACTTGTTTTGTTTGCCTTGAAGTTTGAACCCAGAGTCAATATAGCCAGTAACGTAGTCACAAGGAGCTGGCCTGTGAGTGACTGGCAATAAGTAATCAAGTAGAAATGGCCATTTCAGTCTCCCTTGTGCTTTTTGGTATGCATTCCGCGGAGGGTCCTCCATTAACTCCATCGAATAGTTTTAAAACGTAATTTGTCTCGTATACGAGCAAGCTGGGTGAGGCCTGCTGCTTTTTCACGCATACTAACCAACTCATTAATGGAACTCTTTAATTGTATATCAAGCGGCAATTAGGTAGAGGGGGTTAGGGAAGAAGGGAGACAGGAGGCTCGGGAAAAATACCGATAGCTAGGTGGCCGTTGGCCATGCTAAGCTTGGAGCTTGTAGCAGGTTCTTTTGCGCACGCAAAACCGGCTTCCTCAACCGGATAGC